CCAGCATGCAGGCTGGGGAATTCTGGGAGTTGAAGTCCACACATCTTAAAGTTGCCAGGATTGAGAAACACTGCTTTATACCAATTGCAACTTCAAGGAATTTCAAGGACAACCCTACATAGCCCCTTCATCATCAGTTCCACCTGGCTCAGGAAGAAATACAGCAAGCACACTAAACATAATTGTGCAAAGACACTTCTTGCCCCAGCAGCCACCTGTGAATCCAGTAACAGCTGAAGATCAAGGACTACTCACAGATGACACATCTGCTCTTTCAGGAAGAAAGCAACCCCACCCAACCACATTGAATCTCAGTACCCAAGACCGGTTTCTTTTTTGCCAATATCTCTGTTTCTAACATAATTTCATTTTCCTTCTCAGTCTATTATCAAATTTAGGCAATCTTCAGGGTACTGATTGCTTCCTTGGAGCTGGATGGAAGAGGACTGGCTGTCTTCAGCTGAAGAGGGCATAGGGAATGGACTTGAAGGACAGGAGGAAGACCTGCTACCAAGGGAATGGCCAGATAAGTGGGCTTGAGCCTGGGCCAAGAAAATGATGTGAGAAAATGTCTCAGGCAAACCCCTCCCTAGCTCACACAAAAATAAAAGGAGGAAAGGAGGAAGCACATTCAGACTTGCAAGTTTCTGTTACTGTAGTTGTTTCAATAAAAATAGTTCTGAACTATATGGCATTGGTTTCTTAGTCTGGTCTACCTTCTAGGACTGATATCAGCCTATTAATGACACCTCACCCTAAAATCCCAGATGACCTAACAGCATGTTGAGCAAATGGAACTCTTTCATTACCACAGGTCAGTGTTTCTCACCCTCAGCAATTCTAAGATGTGTGGACTTCAGCTCCCAGAATTCCCAGAAGTCCACACATCTTAAAGTTACTGAGGTTAAGAAACACTGCCATTGGTCAGGAAAAAAAGCAATAATATTAATTTACCTAAAAAGCAGGTATTCTGGTGCCCTCCAGATGTTTTGGAGAACAGTTCCCATCACTGACCATGCCAGTTTGGGATTATGAGAATTGGTTCAAAGCAACTGGAGGGTGCTAAACTGCATAACCTCAATTGAAGAAGCAATAGAGAGCATTGGGGGGGGGGGGGATGGTCAGAAAAAGTCAAGATAGTGGTCATGATTGTATGATCAAAGTCTCACTCCTTTACACGTGTATCACACCCACAATGCATGTAACAAAAGGAATAGCACTTTGATTCTGTGGTTGCAGTCACCAACTTCACTATTTCAACTTCCCCTTCCCTTTTGGGCCTTCCTACAAGGAAAGGAGACAACATTCTTAGCTCAAAAGGGAAGCAGAGAAAGAACCTCAGAAAGAAGGTACCATATTTTTCGTCAATAAGACAC